CAGCAAAGCCGGCCCACCCCCCCGTGAGCAGCTGCCAGCTCGTCCCTGTCACCGCGGGAGCACAGCCAACACCCCCGGGGTCCCCAGAGCTCTCCTGCGGCCCCCTCAGCCCTCTCCCATCCTTGGTGTGTCTGTCAGAGGTGGCAGACACTGCCAGCCCCGTGGCATGGGGGATTTTCCTGTCATTTCTCCTGCAAGCCAAACAGCTCCTGTGGGAGCTGCGTCCTCCAGCTGGGTGCAATGGTCCCCACAAGCCCAGCACCAGCTGGCACCTCTCCACAGCACTGTGCCACCAGCGTCACTGCCACCACAGCCACACCAACACCCCAGGTGCTGCCAAGGCCACTGCCCTCCCTCCTACACTGCAGACCTGACGTGCTAGACATTTTAAGAGCCATAAATGTTTGTTCCCTCTGAGGCCCCCAGCACCTCCAGGAGCCAGACAGCAGGGAAACATTCAGGACAAGCACCAGCCCAGGGGGTAAGCAGCACCTCAGCTCACGGCAGCCGCACCAAATGGCACAGACAGGGATGTGGCACCTCCTGCAACCTGCCCGCACCCTCAGCAGTCACCGGGATTAATGGCGTTTGTCTGTGCAGGAGAGGAAGGGAGGCCCTCCCCAGCACCCTGCAGGCAAAGCCACATCCACAGGCATCCCAGAGCTGGTGAAGTGCCTTGGGAAAGGGATAGTGTGCCCTTCCTGAAAACTGGCAGCCTCTGGGGTACCAGGACCTTCCACACTGAGGCAGGAGGAACAAGGTGTTTGCGCTGGCTCCCCATAGCAAACTGGGGAGCTGGACACAAAAGGTGTTCACTCCAGCATGCTCATTGCCCCTGGCTGCAGCAGGGGACACCCCAGGGCTTGCAGGGAGCAGAAGGGGCACAGCTGGACACCAGTGCCCTGATCACCTTGGCCACTGGTCGCTGGGGTCAGATGAGGGGAAGGGAACCAGCCCAAAGGCTGCTGCACGGCTCCGGCAGCCCTCAGGGAGCTGCACACACAAACTGCAAGGCAGGGGCACACGTCTGTTCAGGGGAACGCACCTCCAGGAGAATCTTCCCCCTCACCCTGCTCGGGGACATGTGCTGCCTGCACTGCCACGTCCCCTTCCTGCCTCTACAGTGTTGCTCCGGCCCCAAATCCCATGGGGAGGGACACCCACAAGGGACTCCAGGCATGCTCCAGGAGCTATTTTATCCTGTTTTCCTCCGTCTGCAGAGAGACAGGGCAGCACAAACCAGCCCCCCCGCAGCTCTCTCTGGAAGCGAAACGCATGAGAGGTCCTGCTCTGCTGTCGAGCGTCCCCTCCCCACGCCGTTTTTTGTCAGCAGAAACCTTATTCTGCTCAAATGAATCACCCCACTGCCCACGAGTGGCAGCTCCTTCCCACCCCCTCCCTCATCAGGGACAACGAGGGCTTTGCAACCTGTTTACCCGGACTTTAACCAGCAGCTCCAGCTCTTG